TGGGCCCAGGTTTATGCTAGAAAAACAAAAAAATTCCCCCCTGCACCTTCCTCTCAAGTCCTAGTGAAAGACTCAGTGCATGTGAAAATTATGTGAACAAAAAAGTTTGAATAGATTGAGGTGCAAAAGCAAGGTATTTGATGGAGCGACTCCTTCTCAAGTGGCTTCAGGCAACAATGAAATAGTTATCTAAATTGGGCTACCCTGCAACTGTCACACTTTTTTTTTTTCTTTTTGCGGTACGCGGGCCTCTCACTGTTGTGGCCTCTCCCGTTGCGGAGCACAGACTCAGCGGCCATGGCTCACGGGCCCAGACACTCTGCGACACGTGGGATATTCCCGGACCGGGGCACGAACCCACGTCCCCTGCATCGGCAGGCGGACTCTCAACCACTGCGCCACCAGGGAAGCCCTTTCTTCTTCTTCTTCTTTTTTTTTTTTGTGTGTGTGTGTGTGTGACACTTTTATATCTGATAGAATATTTGGATATAACCCAGTCCTATATGACCATCTCAAAGCATCTTATCACATGCTAAACAGCTTCTCACTATGTGTTAGGCAAGCTGTAGGGTTTGAAGAAATAGACATCTGTACCATGAACTTTCATAATAGCCACTTGTTCATGTAAGCCATCAGACATTTCAACCTAGTCGAGGGGAAAATAACAAGGAGGTAATGAAAACTCTTTCGGATTTTGGGTGTATGTGTGTGTGTTGTGCATACACAGAGTTTAAAAACAAAACAAAACAATCAAACAACAACAGAGAGCAACTCACGTCTTTGAGATATATTAGATCCATAAATATTATTCTCTCTTAAGTCCAAACTTATCCAGACCCAGGGCACACAAAATGATTTAGAACAACATTGCTGCTCCCTTTTGTTGAGAAAGGTCAGAGGGTGTGGAATTGGCATTGATTGACCACTCAGTGGTTTCCTGGGAATGCTCTCGATGACTTCAGGGAATCTCACAGAACACAGAGATTTGCCTGAGATGGTCCATTTTAGAGTTTGTGTTATCTTCAGCCAGGACTAATTCTTCCATTATTTTAATCAGGGGAAACAGCTGCTGTCATTTTTTTCTACTCTGATATACACTTGTAAAAGTCCTAGATTATTGGCTCAAATTGTGAGCCTGTGCAGGGTTTTGTTTTGTTTTGTTTCGTGTAGGACAGGGATAATAGAATTATTTAATCAGTTCCACACTTTAAGCAAACATTGGAAGAAGTTTTAACTCTTATGAAGTATGAACCTCAAATATTTTCCTCCCTGTTCTTGTATTGGGTCACCCATAGCAGAAAGCTTCTCTCAGTTCTCACAATCAAGAAAAGATAGAATTGGAGTCGTTCCAGATATCTATGGAGAGAATCTGGGCCAGTGAAACTCGATCTGGACATAGAAATTATGCTCTGTTCTTATTTTTAGAAAATAAATGGCTGCTTTCTGGTTACCACGAAAATTCCCTTTTAAAAGTTCTTATGAAATATGGTCACACCACTTAACACTTGCATAAGGCACACAGAATACGTGGCTTTCATTTTTATAGACTGGACAAAATTCCTCACTATAGGTTGGGACCTATTATCATGGCTAGCAGAAAAGGATCCATGCATAGGTTAATTTTGAGGCTGCTTGTAGCATCTTTGTTTTTCCTAGACAATTCAGATTAGAGTAAGTAATCTGCCTATTGTCTTTCTGGTTTCTTCTTATAAAACTAAAACACTGTAGCTTTTTAGTTTAGTAACGTTTTATCACATTGGAAACCAAAGAGGAAGGGGAAGGTTATCAGCTTCACAAAAACAATAAAAAAAGGTTTTTTAAAAATCAGAATTTCAGATTCGCAGAGAGAAGTTTATCTGCTATTTTTATTTATTTATTAAACTCTCCAAAGGATTTATGCAAGTTTTTAGATTCTGCATGTGTGCGTCTGTGTGTGCGCTCATGCGTGTGTGTGTGTGTGTGTGTGTGTGTGTGTACACACTTGTGCTCACATTAACTAGAGAAGGTGATTGAATTATGAGGGATTGTTCTGAAGAAGAAACAATAAAGTAAAGTTGACTAGATTATGGGATTAGACTAAGGGCAGGGTTGACCAAATTTGGGGCTTGTATTGGGGCATTTGGTTGAATAAAATCTGAAAAGCTACACAACCCCCAATTATTTCTGGTAGCGTCTTCTGAGAGTAAGATATGTTTTAATTTGGACCTGACTCTACATGGAATGTTGCCATACTTTTCCTTCAAGATTTAACTGAAATTTAGGTTTCCATAGAAACATTCCTCAACTATTTCCCACCTTCAAGAGTAGTCAGCCACTTTTTCCTCTTCTGTAATGGTCATCATTTTTGTATACCTACATAGGCAACGTCCTCAGTAAAGGAAGAGTCCTGACTTGTTCATCATTTAATCCTCTCTTCTGTTTCAGTGGAATGTAGTGGGTAGTAAACCAGGTATAATTTTATTCCTCAAATGTCTGTGTGCTATATGAAAAGATGTCAAAACTCAGATACATCCCATTCATTCATTTATTCAATTATTTATTGAGCAAATATTATGTTCCTGGCACTATTCCAGATGACAGGGATGTACCAACGAACATGCAAAGAATCTTGCCCTCACGGCAACATACATATACAGTATACTACGTAATGATAAATATTTTTTTAAAAAGTAACACTGAGAAGGAAGAGTAGGAGTATTGAGGATAAGGAGGTTTTAAAATTTTAGATGAAGTAACAGAGAAGATAATATTTAGTGTAGATTCCAGTCTTATACAGTCAAGATATAAGACTTAAATAAAGTACATGGAGCACAATCACAGTAGTTGCTATTTAAGGAAAATTTATCATACCTTAACTTATAATTAATGATTCTTGGATGGGAACTTTCATAGTTTAAGTTCCATGGGGTGAGGAGAAAGAGCTTGTTAAATAAATTCTTGGCTTTTAAAAAGATTGTAAATAGAATTTTAAAGCAATTTAGGTGAAAAACTTTCCCAAACAATTTACAGCTGCAATCTAAATATAAATATTTGGTATGTATAATTAAAATCATTTTCTGTATTCACTAAATAGATCCCCTGAGTGTCACTCATACAAGCAACATATTGTTAGCCTAACTCCAATTATTTTAAGCATAGAAAAGTTATAAATTCCCACTTTAAAAAGTTAATTCAGATAATTTCATTTATTCAAAGAAGTTTTCCTACCAAGATGAATTAGTGTTATTTCCCTGAGCATATTTAAATTCTTACAAAACACACATTTTTAAAGATGTATTTTTCTTGTGCTCCCATGTCTAGCTAGCTAGAGTTTCACGATCCAAAGAGGTAAGGGAAATTCACAAATTATGCTTTTGCTAGAAACAAAATAATGTCAACACCTGATGATGAGATTTGGGAAGTATCTGTAGAAACAAGAACAAGAAGACATTTCTCACCTTTGCTTCAACAAGCCTGCCATAGGCATTTCAGTTTGTTTCTGAGTAACACACATCTCAGTTGTCCATCTTTATCTATTAGACCTTTGTGGCAGTTGACTCTCCCTGGTAGATAAGAACAATACATGTGTAATTTAAGAACCCTTCCTCTTTATTTCAGTTTAATTAGTTATTTCTCACTAGGTAATTGAAAATCAAATTTCTCCTTCAACCAAGTTTATCCTTTGCCTTATTTCCTTGGCACCCTGTAATGTACTCAGTCTTCGGCTATCTCCTACAACAGCACACAAGATCTGATTTCTCAGATGCCTTCTCTCTAATAGCTCCCCATCTTTGAAGATTGAGGTATTGGCTGGTCTATTAGGAGCCACCTGCTAATATAGTCTACAGTCTATTAGGAGACCACCTGGTCTACAGTCTATTAGGAGACCACCTGTCTCCTAATTGGGCTGGTCTACAGTCTATTAGGAGACCTGCTGGTCTACAGTCTATTAGGAGACCACCTGTCCTTTGGGGTGACATTATAACAAGGATTTCTTCAGTTGACGGTGCTTTTCCTTTTTAAAAGGGAAGTTTGAACAAGCATTGCCTGGAATGCAAAGAGATTTTCCCAAAGTTCTTTGGGACTGGATGTAGGGCACAAAGAGAAAGGCAAGAGCTGTATGTTGCTGTCTAGAGAAAATTTTAAGCCTACTAACCCACAGTGAATTAGTTGATATTTTTGCATCATTTTCACAGACATGGACCAAATTCTCAATTGTTCAAAAGCAAATTTCCATATGTGTCAATTGTCCCCGAAATTTATTTTTTTCTTTCTCCCTTTTGTTGGACACTTATGAACTTAAGAGAAAACATGTACAACAATATCCTCAAAAAGACTACATGTAAAATAGTAGGAATTTAACTGATGAAATGAAAAATTTGAATTATCGTAGGATTTGAATCATCCACGCTTCCATTAGATTTAGCTAATACAAATTATTACGTTAATATGCTCTATCACTTTTTCATGCATTACCAGTTTTCACCCTCTTGTAGTCCTAATATAACCACTTCCAAAAAAAGCAGGAGTTCTGGACATCTCTAGAAGTCGCTCTGACACTGAGCCGCCCGATCTTGAGCGGACGTGAAGATTGAAATCTGAAATAAAATTTGAAGGAATATTTAGAAGTACAAGCTTCCCCTTCAGCGTTTCCAATTTAGCCTTCCCCCTCCCCACATTTAACTGGCCTCCTTCTGGAAAGCTGGCCGGCTCTTCAAGGATCAGGATAACTCCTCCAGTTACACTCTATATGGAAGCTCTGGCAGTTACTCTGCTGTTTTTATATGAAGGTTTTATTAAGTCTGTGCCAAACAGCTTCCCGTCAGTGAATCAGCTAAAGATAAAAGTTTTTACTCAAGTGACAACTCTGTAATAAAGGCAGTTTGTGTGTGTGTGTGTGTGTGTGTGTGTGTGTGTGTGTTAGAAGATGGAGATTTCCCCATGACGGATACTGGATTTTCCTACAAACACACATCAAAGGAAAAGCCTGTTTCTCAACTGGTTCTCATGTTTTCTTCTAGTTGGCTTCTTATCAAGATGATTCAGAAAAGGCTGCTGAACTGTGGTGCACAAACAAGGACATGGGGTACTGATGACTCAACCTTGTCAAATCCGGTGGGGTTTCTCTGCAGAGCCCAGGGAGTGACTGTCCACTTGAAAAGATTCCCTTCTATCAAGACATGTGGAGAGAAACACAGGAAGGCCTGGTTATAAAAACTAAATGGAGATTGCATTTGTTTTGAAGCTCTTCTTAACATTGCTTTTAGCATTACGCTATGTGTATGGTAGTTGCTGAGGAGAGTAAAACCCAAGGTGGCAGCCGCATTATCCTCCCCTTTCTGAGAGTGGTACTAATGGGCCCTAGAGGAGTGTCTTCTAAATTTTAGTAAAAACTAAAACCTTTTAATTGATAATTATGACATTTGGCTACGACTATAAACTCAGAAAAACTTGTGATTTTAGGCTTTCCAATCAGGTCGGAACATGTTTGTTTGTTTTTCAAAATTAGGTCTGATTAAAAATATTTCTAGTTGATGGAAACTGGGTTGTTTCCAGTTTGGGGCTAGTATAAATGAATCAGCTATAAACATTTGAGTACAAATCTTTGGTTGAATTTATGTTTTTATTTCTCTTGACTAAAGGAAAAGAGTAGAATTGGTGGGATATCTAGTAAGTATATATATTTCACTACATACTTTACTTGTATGGTTAATCATATAAAAGTGATTGTACAATTTTGCATCCCCACCTGCATTGTATATGAGCTCCACTTGCCATATCCTTGCTAACATTTGGTATGGCTGGTTTAAAATTTTTTTGCCATTCTATGTATGTATATGTGTATGCATGTATATATGTATTGCTAACTTATTGTGGCTTTATTTTCATTAACCTAATGACTAATCACCTTGAGCATCTTTTTCTGTGCTCATTTATCATGTATATATCTACTTTGGTTACACGTCTATAAAAACATTTTGCCTGGTTTTTTTTTGCGGTACACGGGCCTCTCACTATTGTGGTCTTTCCCGTTGCGGAGCACAGGCTCCGGACGCGCAGGCTCAGCGGCCATGGCTCACGGGCCCAGCCACTCCGCGGCATGTGGGATGCTCCCAGACCGGGGCACGAACCCGCATCCCCTGTATCGGCAGGCGGACTCTCAACCACTGCGCCACCAGGGAAGCCCACATTTTGCCTTTTTTTTGATGTTGTCTTTTCATTATTGAGATGTAGAGGTTCTTTGTGTAATTTATATACATTCTTGTCAGATACATCTTTTGGCAATATTCTCACCTAGTCTGTCGTTTGCCTTTTCATTTTCTTATACTGTTTTTTTAATGAGCTAAGCCTTTAAATTTTGTTGGAATCCAATGTATCAATTATTTTTTCTCATTTGCGGATTTTTTTGGTTCAATCTAGAATATCTTTGTTTAGCTGAAGTTCACAAAGATTTTCTCATATGTTCTTCCAGAGGGGTTTTAGTTTTAGCACTTAAACTTAAGTCTACAATCTATTTTGAGTTAATTTTTCTGTATGGTGAAAGTAAGAGTCAAGATTTATCTTTTTAATTGTATCTTACTGTTCCAGCATTATTTGTTGATAAAAATATCCTTTCTCCATTGAAATACCTTGGCACCTTTGTCATAAAACATTGAGCAAATATGTGATTGTTTATTTCTGGACTCTCAAATCTATCCCATTGATCTATATGTCTATCCTTTTGCCAGCACCATACTATCATACTATCTTGATTGCTGTAACTCTACAGGCTTAAAAACAGGTAGTATAAAGTCCTACAACTTGATTTTTCACTTTCAACTTTTTCAGGGTGACTATTTTATGTCCTTTGAATTTCCATACAAATTTTAGAACTCACCTTTCAATTTCTACAAAAAGAAACCTATTTTGGGGCTTCCCTGGTGGCGCAGTTGTTGAGAGTCCGCCTGCCGATGCAGGGGACACGGGTTCGTGCCCCGGTCCGGGAAGATCCCACATGCTGCAGAGCGGCTGGGCCCGTGAGCCATGGCCACTGAGCCTGCGTGTCCGGAGCCTGTGCTCCGCAACGGGAGAGGCCACAGCAGTGAGAGGCCCGCGTACCACAAAACAAAACAAAAAAACCTATTTTAACTGGGTTTGCATTTGAATCAATAGATCAATTGGGGAAGAATTGACAACTTAATATTGAGTCCTATGATCCATGAAAATGGTATATCTCTCCATTTATTTGGGTTCTTTTAACCTTATCTTCACATGTTGTAGTTTCCAATGTACAGGTCTTACACATGTTTTGTTAAATTTATCCTTAAGTATTTCAGGCTTGTTTCTAGTTTCTTATGATGGAAGCATTGACTATTGATTTGAGACCTTTCTTCGTTTCTAATGTAAATATTTATTACTATAATTTCTTCCTTAAGTATTAATTTAGTTGAATTCCACAAAAATTTTAACAGTTTTATTTGGTTAAATTGACCTACATTAAAATGTATATATTTAAAAGATATCATTTGAAATATTTTCTGAAGCCATCATTACAGTCAAGACAATGAACGTATCAAACACTACCAAGTATTTCCGTGGTACCAAGTAATTTATTATTATAAACAATCTCTTGGTAATCTCCCTCTTATTCTTCCTCACTTCGCTCTGGTTCCTCCTGGCAACATTGATCTGCTTTCAGTTACTGTAGATTAGTCTGCTTTTTATACCTTTAAATAAGTAGAATCATATAATATGTATTCTTTTCTATCTGACTTCCTTCACTGAGTATAATTATTTTGAGATTCATCTATGTTATATTATGTTTCAACAGTTTATTCTTTTTATTGCTTAGTAGTATTCCATTTTATGGATATACCACAATATGTTTATCCATTCACATGTTGATGGACTTTCAGGTTGTCATCAGTTGTAGTGGTTCCCACTTTATAGCTATTATATATAACATTTCTATGAGTATTGGTGTACATCTACTTCTATGGATACATGCTTTCATTTCTCTTGGATAAATACCCAAGAATGGAAAAGTTGGATTATATGGTACATGTTTGTTTAACTTTTTAGGAAACTGCAAATCTGTTATCCAAAGTGGTTATGCCACTTTACATTCCCACCTGAGGTATATGAGATTTTCATTTGCCTCATTACTATATTATTCCTTAAATTCATATTTTATTTGAATGTTACCTGAGAAAATCTCTTATATATTTTAAAATACTCAAGATTTCCATTTGACATTTCATCTATGGACGAAAGCCTTTCAAGATAAAATCACTCTTAGGGGGACAATTGAGCATGGTGTTACATTTTTCATACAAATACAAACATTACTATTTGATTCTGTTCTGTTCTGGTGCCAAAGCTGAGATATGAGCCTGAGGGCTGCAGCAGCAGCCATGCTTATAGTTTGCCCAAAAGAATGGGACCAGCATGCAGAGAAAGAAACAAAGAGAGAGAAGGAGAGAATAAAAGGTGGAGGGGAGACAGACTGATAGAATTCAAATCCCTTGCTTCAGCATCTTGTTACATGAGATAATATATTTCACTTTTTTGCTTTTAAAAGTGTCTTATATGGGGCTTCCCTGGTGGCGCAGTGGTTGGGAGTCCGCCTGCCGATGCAGGGGGCGCGGGTTCGTGCCCTGGTCCGGGAGGGTCCCGCATGCTGCGGAGCGGCTGCGCCCGTGGGCCATGGCCGCTGGGCCTGCGCGTCAGGAGCCTGTTGCTCGGCAGCGGGAGAGGACACAGCGGTGAGAAGCCCACGCACCGCAAAAAAAAAAAGTGTATTGTATGTCATCCCTCCCCACAAGCTACATATTTTAATTAATGAGACCACAGGAATAACACACCATGCAATTTTAAAAAGACAGAATGTAACATACTGCTAAGTGATAGATACCTTTGTCCTTCTATTATATCACTTCTATTATATCATCTCTCAACCTCTGCGTGATCAGTATTAGGCAATTGTGAAAGTGAGAATTCACTGGGAGCCATTGACGATATAGGAAGCTGTATAAGTTTCCGTTGTTCCGAAAGCCTCTGTTTAAAGAAAGTTCTGAGACTCATACACCTTTCAGACCTCCACCTGGCATCCTGTACCACCATCACCCACTTTGTCTCTTGTGTTCCCACAGCATAAAGCTTGTCCTATTTTTTTTCAAAAGCTTTCAGGAGCTTCCAAATATCAAACAGCTTATACAGCTTAATATCAAAAAAACAAACAGCCCAATCTAAAAGCAGAAGACCTAAATAGACCTTTCTCCAAAGAAGACATACAGATGGCCAAAAGGCACATGAAAAGATGCTCATAACACTAATTACTAGAGAAATGCAAATCAAAACTACAGTGAGGTATCACCTCACACCAGTCAGAATGGCCATCATTAAAATATTTACAAATAATACAGGCTGGAGAGGGTGTGGAGAAAAAGAAACCCTCCTACACTGTTGGTGGGAATGTAAATTGATTCAGCCACTATGGAGAACAGTCTGGAGACTTCTTAAAAATCAGAAACAGAGTCACCATATGATCCAGCAACCCCACTCCTGGGCATATATCTGGAGAAAACTCTAATTCGAAAAGATACATGCACCCTGATGTTCATATCAGCACTATTTACAATAGCCAGGACATGGAAACAATGTAGGTGTCCATCGACAGATGAATGGATAATGAAAATGTGGTACACATATACAACAAAATATTACTCAGTCATAAAAAAGAATAAAATAATGCCATTTGCATCAACATAGATGGGCCTAGAGATTATCATATTAAGTGAATTAAGTCAGACAAAGACAAATATCATATGATATCACTTATGTGTAGAATCTAAAAAAAATATGATACAAATGAACTTATTTACAGAACAGAAATAGACTCACAGACATAGAAAACAAAATTATGGTTACAAAAAGGGGTTAGCAGGGGAGGGGAGGAACAAATTAGGAGTTTGGGATTAACATATACACCCTACTATATATAAAATAAACAAGGACCTACTATATAGCACAGGAAACTATATTCAGTATCTTGTAATAGTCTGTAATGTAAAATAATATATATATTATATATATAATATATATAATATCTGAATCACTTTGCTGTGCACCTGAAACTAATACAACATTGTAAATTAATTATAATTCAATTAAAACTGGTTAAAAAAAGAAGCATTTGTGGATGCATGGTATTTAGGTAATGATAGATCTGCTTGTAAAATATTTGTGCAATTTTATAATTTATGCCTCATTTACCTATTTTAAAACCCTCACTTGGGCTTTTTTACCATTAGTAAGTTCTCAGATATTTTTTGAGTTTTTAAGTTGAAAGGTGTAGTGTTAGACATGTTTACAGACCATTTTAAGTGTTTGAAAGTTGTCCACAAATAAAAGATATCAAAACATTAAAACTTTCTATTATTGTGAAAAAACAAACTGGTTCAAATAAATCTTTTTCTGACAGGGCAGTCCATTTATCCATGAAGAAACTTCCACTAACAAATGATATGATCAAGAACCTCTTATTAACAAAGCATTGTCATGGTATGTACAAACGTCGACTTAAAAATTCTGTATGGGGCTTCCCTGGTGGCGCAGTGGTTGGGAGTCCACCTGTCAATGCAGGGGACACGGGTTCGTGCCCCGGTCCGGGAAGATCCCACATGCCGCGGAGCGGCTGGGCCCGTGAGCCATGGCCGCTGAGCCTGCGCGTCCGGAGCCTGTGCTCCGCAATGGGAGAGGCCACGACAGTGAGAGGCCCGCATACCACAAAAAAAAAAAAAAAAAAAATTCTGTATGATTTGAAATCTGATTAACTCCACAATTACCTCTGTTTATGCTTAGTCTTGACAAAACCCCCAAAATTTACTGAAGTCACCCTTCACTTTTGAATAACCAGGGACTAACACTTTTCTCTAAAGCTCTTCATCCCTTTCAAGGCCAGACAGAGCCCTATTAAATGAAAATCATGGAATGCTGGCAAGTTCTGCCTTTTTGCAATCTGGAAACAAGAAGATAGGCTTTTGACTATTTTGTTTTCCTCTCAGGAAGGAATTTAGTCAGATGATTAACTATAAATATATTTACAGTTCATGGATCCCAGGGCCCACTGGTGTGATTTAATTTAGTAAATATTCCACACAAAATCCAAGTAGCTAAGAAACTGACTAGCTAAGGTAATGTGAGCGATGGAAAACTAGAGGGTAATTTTTAAGGTGATTGAACTTACAGAGTGGATAAACTTCAAGGTAGTAATAGTGAACCCGTGCTTAGAAGAGCAATGCCTGGGTCTACTTCTATCCAACCTGACCAAGGCAATCAAACCGGAGCTTTACCAGATGCCTACACATTCTGAATATATTGGCAGATACCCAGTGCTTTAGGGAATGAGAAAGAGACAAGGGCATTTTTCGATAAAAACCCGTCAGAGAATTCTATCCCAGCTGCATTATATCTCGTGCAAGGGAGACATCTTGTGTTCCATTAAGCCCAAAGGCTTTATTTTTAGTGAGGATAGATGGAAGCTTTTCTCCGTTAACCTAGGTGAGCTTTTGGAAGACAAATTTATCCTAAAGAGTCAAGCATAAATCTATCCTTAGGCTACAGATGAGGCAATATAGATTTTTACCTTGGACTGAAAATACCTCAGCCACTTTGGCTGTGGATGGAATTCTTCAACCTCCTATTTTTAAAAGTTTCACGCTTGAAAAATTCAAAGAGTACTACCCTAAAATAGAACTTTAAGAAGAAGGACCATCAATTCATCAGGGCATGTTAAAAGGCCAAATTAAATCTAACAAGTTTATGAAGATGGTTTTATAGTCAGCTCATCAAATACTCATTGAGAGTCTACTAAGTGCAAGAGGCACAGTGCTGAGTGAAAACTGTGGTCACCATTACTTTAAGAGGGTTTTAGTCTAGAGGAAAAAAAGGCTTTTTTTTTTTTTGCGGTAAGCGGGCCTCTCACTGTTGCGGCCTCTTCCGTTGCGGAGCACAGGCTCCGGACGCGCAGGCTCAGCGGCCATGGCTCACGGGCCCAGCCGCTCCGCGGCATGTGGGATTCTCCCAGACTAGGGCACGAACCTGTGTCCCCTGCATCGGCAGGCGGACTCTCAACCACGGCGCCACCAGAGAAGCCCCAAAAGCACATTTTAAACTGGTTACTTAACATGTTAGAAATTAGAAGTGTGTGCAACACATACTACAGGAGCATTTTACAGGGCAGATTTCTGAATTTCCCATGCTTTGTCAATCAGCTTCAGCAGAATGTGCAAAGAAAATGAGTGCTCCTCTGAGGGCAGTTCCACGCAAGAGTATGGAGGGTGTTCTGGCAGTAGGGTAGTCCCTCTCCCTCTCACGCATACCATGGAATGTGAAATGAAAAAGCAGCTTGGACCCCTATTTACAATTTTATTCAAAAATGTTCTGGAAGAAAAAGCCAGTAATATGGATCAATATAAACACACTTATGGCTGAGAAGCGAAAGGGGCAGAAACAAAACAGGAAAGTAGTGGACCCAGGGTTCCACAAAGGAACCCTGGGGGATTGTCCAATCCTAAATGGAGAGGGGAAATAAATGGCAATGGAATTTGACCTGAAACCTTTGGAGCTTAAGTTTTAAGCAAAACGTAAACCTTGAAGACAAAGTTCTGCTTGCAGAAATCTTATCTTGTGGGGAAGCACTGTGCTGGGCCTAGAAGGCTCTAACCAGCCATTGACATGCTAGGGAGACTTTCTGGCAGGGTGTGACCATTTCAAGGCAGCACTGAAAGCCTGGTATGTTTATATAGTCATGTCCAGTTTACCTGTGTCAGACAAGACTTTGACAGGCCTAAGAGAAGGAACTATGCAGGATCTCCAGTTATCCATGCTGCTGGAAACACCACTAGCCTGGCCAGCCAAAGAAAAACACATGTGCCTGCCAGAAGTAACAAAGTAATGAACTTTCCATGAAAGCTATCAGTTCTGGACAATTTGATATTTTTAGAGAAAAGACTTATGTATAGTAGGTACCATGATCATTAAGACCTGAACTGATGTGGCTCATGTATTCAGGATGAAGGTGAGGGTTGCCAGTGAAGAAATGAAGCATCAGTGCAGAGAATTTGTATTCTTAAAGGAGCAGTAAGGCCCGAATATCAGGGAAATATACAATAACCTACACTTTAAAGCATGGAATGTCAAAGTCTAAGGATTCCTTATGGCATCAACAACCTGTCATTAATGCATAGTTTGGACTGAAAAACAAGGGCTTAGGAAATGTAAATATGCTTTACCTACAATCTACACTTGTAATTTTTGTGCCTTAGAAATGGAAAGATAAGAAGTGTACAAGATTTTCACACACATTAATAACCCCTAAGGGTCCTTGGCCAAACAGTCCTGAGCTGGGATGTAATTGGTTCACTGTGGTCCTGTACATTTCCAGAAATTTCCTTAGGGTCAATTTAACACTTAGATCCTAGAGTTACAGATTTTTTTTAAAGTATGCTTTTTGCAGCTTATCAAATGAGATCATCCAGTTTCTCAGAGACAAAAGCAGACTTAATATTTGAATAGCACCTGGGGCTTAAAAACAAAGAAAACGTCTCTAAAAAACTGGTAAATGTCAGGTATAATGTTGTAAATATGAAACTTCATATTTCTCTAGACCTTAACACAACGTCTTGCACAAGGTTATAACCTAGGAAAAACTTGGCCTCAGATTGAATTTTTTCATTAATAAGTGAATCCTGTATAAATGCCAGTATTCTTAGAAGTAACTTATTTTATTTCTGCTAGGACTGAAAGCATCACTTAATCTAGGAGTGCCAGATGTCATCATTCAATAAAGTATTCAGCACTCTATCTATCTGAATATTCATGAACCCAGATGCCTAGGAAATGTCAGATTACTGATACTCTGGTGAAATTGTGTACCGGAAACTGTTCAATGTATGTTTTGGGGAAAACAAGTTCCAGTCTTGAGTCTCTGATTTTACTCAGTATTCAGCTGCAGGTCCATTGCCTTACATACCACAAAGTTGTTCATTAATACGGGAAAGTTTGGGTTGTAATCTCAATTTGTTTCTTTTACATAAAAGTGTTTATTTGGATTTAACTGCAGACCAGGAGAGAGATCACCTGCCCCTTTCTCATCAAGACATCCTTCATGGTCTTCCCATCATGGATAGCCAACAAAGGTAAAAATCTACCTTCAGAAATCATTCACTTAAATCAATGTCTATTTTCTGCCAAAGTAGGATGGTAAATTATGAGGAGTTATTAGGTTGGATATGCCAAATGAGAGAACTGATTCCTGCCATAAAAAGCTTAATATAAAGAGTCATTAGTGAATGATTTGCAATCCTATATACTTTTAGTTCAATTCTATATACTTAGAGTTCAATTCAGTGTTGGCCAAAGATTGGGAGTGGATGTCCTTAACGTAGCTGTCCAACTGCCAAATGCAAACTTAGGGGAATGGACCACTGAGTTGAAGTAAAGAAAGTAGAACGAGTCTTTTGTAGCCATACTGTTCAAAATCTTCTTATTGCATCTAGTATAAAATTTTAACTCTTCACCATGGCCTATTGTCCTACATAACGTGGCTTCTGATGGCTTTCCCAACCACCCCCGGTCTTCTCTCTACCCTCTTCTCAATGCTCCAGCCACATGGCCTCCTTTAAAACATGCAGGTGCTAAGGTCCTGCCTTACAACTGTCTCAGGTAGTGCTCCTTCTCCCTCCCAATGCTCTCTGTGATCCTCCCTCTTCTCCCCCAGATCTTCCTGTGGCTGCCTCTGTCTCATCTTTAAACTCTTAGCCAAAATTTCCTCCACTTTCCACTATGGGAGGGCCTCTCCTGAACATCCAATTTAAAGGGGATTTCCTGCATCCCAGTCACTCTCTAGCATCTCTCCCTGTTTAATTCTTTTATTTTTGTTTATAACACTATTTATGTCCCAAAGTAACCTTGTTTATTGGTCACTTTTCTGTTTCCACCAACTGGACTCAAACTATGTTGAAGGCAGAGACTTTGTCTGTCTCGTTCGTTACTTATTTCTGGCACGTATGGCCTGGCATATAGAAGGTGCTCAATAAATATCAGTAGAAAAGCAGAAACCAAAATGGATCAAATAAAGCTCTGTCATGGGTAATTGGATCCTAATATGGGGCCTATGAAGATATTGCTTCAGGGATCCAAGCAAGGATGGCCCATATTCAAGCCATGTAGGGCACAACGCCCAGCTTTAATGTCCACAAGTAACCTTCTGAGAAGTTCATCTAACCCAACCACTCTTTGCTTCTCTCGCCCCTATTTATCACTCATACCAAGCCTTTCATCTGGCCTCTCCTATAATTCCTCTTGGATATCCTGGAAATGACACATGGAAACATGGACTTTGTCCATGGGAACCAACACACAGTTAACCACCCTTCCACCAAAGCTCCATTTAGTCTCCAGTGTGTTTGGACTGGCTGTTTGTCAGGGCGCAGGGCACTGGTCACTCTCAGAACAGGAGCTTTGCCTCCAATTGTTATAGCTGTCTGTGTCTTAATCAGTAGCTCTGTTTTAAGTGGTTAGAGATGCATAGTATTTGGCTTCAACCACAGGCATCCCTGGAAGGAAAATGGGAGGATGAGAGGTCAGTTAATCTGTGGTTGGAATCAAAATACCTAAGCCCAGTGGGGGCTGATCTAAACGAGGCTGAGTATGTCTGCATACTCAGTTTCGGAACTGAAGTGGGGAGTGGTTCTGATGTTTTGGCAACAATCAAGGAGAGAAGAAGAAAAGCGTGCAGAACGGATGGGAGAAACAAAGTTCTACCGACTGAAAATCTTATGGCTTCATGGATGTGTTACTTCATGTTACTGGAAAGTATTTTAGAGTAGGCAAGTCCTGAAGGGAGAGTTGTTAATTTTATATTCTCCTCAAACAAAACATTTTGACAATATACCCACAAAAGCTGTGGAATCCATGACCCCAGCTGTTGTGTATCACCAACTGTCAGAATCATAAATATTTCCCTTCACATCTCCATGCATCTTTCAGAGTTAATATCTGCATGCAACTTGGTGACTCAGCTATGATGACACAGTGAGAACAAAAAGCAAAGTGTTGGGTTTTGTTTGTTCTAATTATTTTTCTTTCTTCTTCTCTCTCTATAACTCCTTTAAAAAAAGCTGATAAGCAGAACTTCAAGTGTGCTTGTTCAATTATTGTGATGTGCTTGTTTCCCCTAAGCAGGAGAGGAGAGTGTTAAGTGCTGGACATGCAAGGAAATTTTTGTTTTCCAACACCCAAGTGGACTCTGCATTCTCCTCACTGTGTGCTGTGGTTAACAGGAGATGACAGCTATCTGTTCCCCATCCTATAATCATGTCTTCTTGATCTGCCTTTTAAAATTACACACTTATTAGAAAGCTCTGTGATCCATTTCCTGTTTGCCAAGACACCTGTCATATGGACTTTGCATTCATAATCAGTAACTGCTAGTCTGTGGGAACACACCCAGCTTTTAAAAGACAGAAGTTTGTGGAGTCAAAATTGCTGGATTCTTATCTCGTCTTTGTTACTTATGTACCACGATCTGTCAAATGGTAATACTGTCATCCACCTGGTAGGATTATTGTGTGGCTCAGGTTAATTAATATGCATAAAGCACTTGGTAAAGAGTAAACAATAATGTGAATATAAATAGAATTAAAGAAGTTCCTGAGTGATATATTGGGAGTGGTTACTACCAGAGCTTCCCAAAGGGCTTCATATAGCCACATTTATTAATTAGGAAGCTTCTTCATGTGCTGCTAAATCACTTACACACATTTCATGTGAGCTATATAAACTTTTGCTAGGTCAAAAGTTATATATTGCTTTTCTACAATCTTGATAAAGAAAAATGGAGCTAGAGAAATCAGGCTCCCAGACTTCAGACTATACTACAAAGCTACAGTAATCAAGACAGTACGGTACTGGCACAAAAACAGAAATATAGATCAATGGAACAGGATAGAAAGCCCAGAGATAACCCCACGCATGTATGATCACCTTATCTTTGATAAATGAGGCAAGAATATACAATGGAGAAAAGACAGCCTCTTCAATAAGTGGTGCTGGGAAAACTGGACAGCTACATGTAAAAGAATGAAATTAGAACACTCTAACACCATACACAAAAATAAACTCAAAATGGATTCAAGACCTAAATGTAAGGCCAGATACTAGAAAACTCTTAGAGGAAAACATTAGCAGAACACTGTATGACATAAATCACAGCAAGATCCCTTTGACCCACCTCCTAGAGAAATGGAAATAAAAACAAATATAAACAAATGGGACCTAATGAAACTTAAAAGCTTTTGCACAACAAAGGAAACCATAAACAAGACGAAAAGACAACCCTCAGAATGGGAGAAAACATTTGCAAACAAAGCAACTGATAAAGGATTAATCTCCAAAATTTACAAGCAGCTCATGCAGCTCAATATCATAAAAACAAACAGCCCAATCCAAAAATGGGCAGAAGACCTAAATAGACATTTCTCCAAAGATGATATACAGACTGCCAACAAACACATGAAAGAATGCTCAACATCATTAATCATTAGAGAAATGCAAATCAAAACTACAATGAGGTATCACCACACACCAGTCACAATGGCCATGATCAAAAAATCTACAAAAATTAAATGCTAAAGAGGGTGTGGAGAAAAGGGCACCCTCTTCCATTGTTGGTGGGAATGTAAATTGATACAGCTATTATGGAGAACGGTATGGAGGTTCCTTAAAAAACTAAAAATAGAACTACCATTTGACCCGCTACTGGGCACATTCCCTGAGAAAACCATAATTCAAAAAGAGTCATGTACCACATGTACCACAATGTTCATTGCAGCTCTATTTACAACAGCCAGGACATGGAAGTAACCTAAGTGTCCATCAACAGATGAATGGATAAAGAAGATGTGGCACATATATACAATGGAATATTACTCAGCCATAAAAAGAAATGAAATTGAGTTATTTGTAGTGAGGTGGAAGTACCTAGAGTCTGTTATACAGAGTGAAGTAAGTCAGAAAGAGAAAAACAAATACCGTATGCTAACCCATATATATGGACTCTAAAAAAAAAAAAGGTTCTGAAGAACCTAGGGGCAGGACAGGAATAAAGACGCAGACGTAGAGAATGGACTTGAGGACATGGGGAGGGGGAAGGGTAAGCTGGGATGAAGTGAGAGAGTGGCATGGACATATGTACACTACCAAATGTAAAATAAATAGCTAGTGGGAAGCAGTTGCACAGCACAGGGAGATCAGCTCGGTGCTTTGTGTCAACCTAGAGGGGTGGGATAGGGAGGGTGCAAGGGAGACACAAGAGGGAGGAGATGTGGGGATGTATGTATATGTATGGCTGATTCACTTTGTTATAAAGCAGAAACTAACACACCATTGTAGAGCAATTATACTCCAATAAAGATGTTAAAAAAATAAATAAATAAAAATAAAAAATAAGTTATATATTGCTTTTCTAACAAGTATGAAGTTTAGTTCACAATACCAGCATGCAATAAATGGCACATACATTTGTTCCTCTAAAGCCAATTTAATCTGTTCCAATCAGGATGGTGGAAAATTAAAATCCAGGGATTTGCAATGTTAGTAGGGGGTAGCAAGAAATGAAACTCCCATCTCTCTGTATCATTCAAGAACTATGAGAACCTTAAGCAATCCAGAACATTCAGAGTACCTTTGTGTCATCGCTCAACATTGATCATCATCGATATGTTCATTGTCCAGCACATTTGTGCCCTTGAAGGTGAGCAGCCCTGCTACTTCCATGTCAGCCTTGGGCTCTAGGTGTTTTCCTGAAGTTGGATCCCTCCATACATCTCAAAGGCACACATCTCAAACCTCTCCTTAGTTATACCAGGAAACCCATGCCTTCTAAATTACCACTCACCTCCCCGGGCCACTGGAAAGGGAGAGACCACTGATTGTGGGAACAGTTGTCTAAACTGAACCTAGAAAAATGGAAATCTTGTATTAAATATGGAGTTACACAACTTCCCCTATTTCACAAATTTATTGCGCACTTTCCCAGATGTTTGGGGGCTTGTAAAGATAAAAGACAGTGTGTGACCTTAACAATCTAGCAGATTTCAAATTCTTTCATGAAGTTCATCTAATTTAATCATTGGGTCAAGATCATTCTCTGTGGTGAAAGCAGAAGCAATGTTACACATTCCTGTTTGACAGTGGAACGAACTGAAGCTCAGAAAGGCAACCTGATTCACAGAGCCTCATATCCAGTTACAGGAAATGCTGGAAATACATCCAAAGAGTCAATTTCA